CATTTCACTTGCATCACTACTCAACTTAGCATTTGGTTCCATGGGTGTTTTAGCTGGTTTAGTACCTAACAACCCTTTTTCTTCCAACAGATCAAGAACATATTTCTTTGGCACAAATTTATACCTTGTTTCAACCTAGCAACTTTCATACCCAAGAAATACTTCTTCCCAAGATCTTTTTGTTTGGACATGGTCTTGCAAGAAGGCCTTTAGCCTATCAATCCCTAGTCTATCACTACTAGTTATGACTATATCATCCACATAAACCACTAAGAAAATCTTTCTAGCTTCAGAATCATAACTGAACACTGAGTGATCGACGTGACATTGTTTCATTCCGAAATCTTTCACCATTTCACTGAACTTCCCAAAGCAAGCACAAGGAGACAGTTTCAACTCATAAATTGCCTTTTTGAGTCTACACACTTTACCATCCTCTCCCTTAGCAACAAACCCTAGTGGTTTCTCCATGTAGACCTCCTCCAAAAGATCATCGTGGAGGAAGGCATTTTTAATGTCAAGTTGAAACAAAGGCCAATCATACATAACTACCAAGGAAATCAAGACACGAATTTAACCAATCTTAGCAATAGGAGAGAAGGTCTCCATATAATCTACTCCATACAATTGAGAATAACCCTTAGCAACGAGTCGAGCTTTCAACCTTTCCACACTACCATCTGGTAAATATTTAACAGTATACACCCATTTACAACCTACAACATGCTTACATGAAGGAAGAGTGGTGAGCTCCCACGTGTGATTGTGTTGAAGAGCAGAGAGTTCCTCCATTGCTTGACGCCACCCCGTTGAATTAAGAGCCTCTTGGACATCCTTGGGTATAGATATAGAGGACAACAAAGAAACAAATTGGCGATGTAAAGTGGAAAGATGAGAAATAGAAACATAATTGGATATGGGATGTAAGGTACAACCATACAACTACGTTTACCTTTCTGCAACACAATGGGAAGATCTAGTCTGAAGAGGTAGGCAGCTCTGGGGTAGGTGAAACTACAGGATCCGCAGATGAGGTACAAGCTGGAAGAGGTGCCGGTGTTTGTTGATGAGTATACACATGTTGGATTGATGGTCGTTCAGTAGGAATTTGCACTGGAGGAGGTGAAGGCTCAGGCATAACAGGAACAACTGGAATGGGATCACCAACGGGAAGAGGAAGAGGGACCAATGGTGAAGAGGCCGGGACATCAGGACCCGAGAAGAACGACATGGACTCAAAAAAAGTGACATCAAGACAAACAGATGACTTCCAAGTGATAGGATTCTAAGTTTGTAACACTTGTACCCTTTCTGGGTCCGAGAATAACCAAGAAAGATACACTTAATAGAACGTGCGTCCAACTTGTCTAAACCAGTGATAAGATTGTGAACAAAGCACACACACCCAAAGACCCGGGGAGCTAATGGAAATGGAGATAAAGTGGGGAACAAAATGGAAAAGGGAGACCAACCATGAAGGATGGATGAGGGCATCCAATTAATGAGGAAACATGCTATGAGCATTGCATCACTCCAAAAACGCTTAGGAACATTCATATGATTAAGGATAGACCGAGCAATCTCAAGAAGATGATTGTTCTTTCGTTCAACCACCCCATTTTGTTGAGGGGTGGATGCACACGATGTTTGATGAATGATGCCATGTTATTCCAAATATTGTTGAAAGGAAATAAGAAAGTATTCTCTGCCATTACCTGAACGATAAATTTTTATTGGAACACCAAATTGCGTACGTATTCCAGCATGAAATTTTTGAAAAATAGAAAACAATTCATTTCTTTCTTTCATTAAAGAAATCCATGTCATCCTTGAACAAGCATCAATGAAAATGACAAAATACTTGTAACCATTATAGGACTCAATTCTGATTGGACCCGAAACATCTAAATGGACTAAAGCAAAAGGACACAGCATATGACTATCGACCCTAGAAGAAGAGGTAAAGTATTGTGGAGATGTACTACAATTGCAATCCTTTGGGTAGTTTGGGAGGAGTTTAAGGATAAATTTCAGGTTAGAAGAGCTATCATTGATCTCATCAGTGTAAGGATTGTGCATTGGGCTGAGTTTTTAAGCTTGTTCAATGCCTTTAATTTTGATAACATCTTATTGATCAAAAAAAAATTTTGATAACATCTTCAAGAATTGGGGACTGATCACTGCTGCACTGGGCAGGGTTACAATTTAGGTCTAGGTTAAGGTATAGTCAAAGTCAGGTCAGGTTGGGCTCAACCAGTGCTGAACATGATAACAGATCTTGTCCAAATATTTGTTGTAAAACAAAAGTGTGAAGGGATGAGAGATCCATCATATGGATGGCCGAACCCTGCATGAAGGTTGGGCGAAATTTCAAAAATTTCTCTCCCATGTGGGAATCGCATTCCCTATTTTAGAAAACTGCATTTTCAAGGATCAATCTTGAAACCAAACCGGACCAGATCTGAAACCAAAAGGGAGTAGAGGGATATACCTGATACGGAGTAATAATAAATCCCCAATGAAGGTGTTCATGCCCAAGGAAAAGACCAAAGACTGCTTCCACCGAAGATGACACAGTGTGAGGTGAAGCAGAATCAGCAAGACAGTTCTTCAGCAAGAACCGAATTCTTCAACAAGAATATGATGGAGGGCTGGTGAGCACGACTTCATATTGCCTTTTCTAGCAAAGTGCAATATCAAGAACTGTTTTTGATCACTCCTACTGGTGGAGATCGAACTGGGTAGGGCGGCAAGAGCAGGAGAGAACAAGAGCAGAAGACAATGTAATCAAATTGTGTTGTCTCTCTCTGTAATTCAACAAACTGTTACATGATCTGGAGGTTTGCCCTGCTCTTCTATTTATAGCCTTAAAGAGAGGTTCTCCTAATCCCATTAGGAGTTTCCTAATCCAAATCTTATATTTGGATCTGGACTCTCTTTTAAGAGATAAGGATAATCTCTTTCTTATCTGCAGATAAAGATCAGCCTTCCCTAATCAAATTAGGAGTTTCCTGATCCAAATCTTTATTTGGATCTGGACTCTTTGAGTGGATAGGGATAATCCCTTATCCTACCTGTTGATCCAAATTCCAGAACCCCCCCTCTTTTAACTAATCTTATTAAGCAGTTCAAATTGGGCTTTAGGCCCATTAAGTCTATGTGCTCACTAGCCCTCTTAATCTGCTGCCCAGTTGGTTATCCTTGTATGGCGCGGGACCCAAACACTGTCTAACAAAGTGTCACCTTTTAGCTTTTCCTGCTTTCTTGGCTTTGTGCCCCAAGTCAGGTTGGGCCCATCCAGTGCTGAACATGACCATTGACTTCTCTAATAAAAAACACCCCATTATTAACCATAAATTAACTTTACTCCAGTCACAGTCACAAAATTGATGGTGAGAATTGAACCATTAGATGTTAATTTAAGAAAACAAAGAGAATACCATCCCACTGAACTGTTTCCCTTTCCAGTTCCCATAGGGTACAGAGTTCATTAACTCTAAACTTAGCTTCTTCTCTGTAGGCTGTCTCTAGTGAGGCACTTGTCTACCACTAGTCCAGAGCAAGTAACACCACTTTTGAAAGACATGCACCAAGTCAGCTAGGACGAAAAGATAAGGGAACCCTTCCATCAGTGCTCTGTCATCACACCAGACATCTCCCCAAAAACCTATCCCATTCCCTGTTCCCAATGTTATGAAAATCATAATTGTATTATAAATTGTAAAGGGATTCAAATGGATCGTATCATGAACAATATCATAAATCATAAGTTTTTTACTGATTTTTCTAAAAGTTGTCAAAAAACTATAACAATACATAAACCTCTCAAAAATAGAAAAAAAAAATACTTTTACTCAGTACTGACCAGATTTATCATATCTAAGTAAGAAAAGGATGAGATCCATCTTCCTTTGATTATCCTTATCCCCTAGTTGTTTAGGGAAAAACCATAAAGTTTTATCTCTAATTCTCTGTTCACTTGTTGTCAAGACTTAGACATGCATAAGAATGCATGAAAAATACTAAAATAAGAGATATGCATTAACATATAACAGCTAGGTTGCATAATCCAGAATCTATACATACTCAATTTCATCATTCAAGAATCAAGAATAAAATAGTTCAAGTTTCAAGCTACACATTGAGACATAACAAATAAATATTATATACAACATAAGAAATTAAAGTCTAAACTGAGATACAAAACAAAAGGAATTCATTATCTGCATGGAGAACAATCAAGTCATTATATGTATATACTTGTATTTGTATGTATGTATGGATTGGGTCAAGCTTGAACATGAAACCCAACAACAAACCTAGAATTTTCGAGTTGGGTCGGGCTGAGATGATCACCCCTAGATATTTGTTAATAAATGCTAAAATTGATTATTGAAATTTATATATTAACAAATATTAAGAAAAAGTATTTTGAATTTCTAAAAACCAAGGTATATATGCACACATTTTAGTTTTTCCATCATTTTCAACAATTACCGATTATGTCCTGATCTCTAGATTAATGAGAGGGAGAGTAATTAATTTGCAATGTATATACTGATACATTAGAATATCGGCTCGTATCAGCCCGATACAGGTGAAAAGGAATGAGACAATTGGTTTCTATATGTTCCGTGTATTGGGCTTTTAACGGAATGATACGTATTGGCTATATGTTGCAAAATTTTGAACCTTGGTTGAGACTATGTATCTTTATATGTATCTGAGAAACTATATGATAGATATTCGCTAAGGGCCAATGAAGTAATATATGTAAGGTTTTTATGTTTAAATAACTTATTTATGATCATATATACCTTGTACTTTATTGTTATTACTATATTTTTTGGGATTTATTTGAGTTTTTCGTCTGTATCTATGCATATCCAAAGCGTATCTCGATACGTTTCTTAAAATTGCCTTTCCGATACACTTTGTGTTTCTGGTACTTTAAACCTTGGTCTCAACTCCATCATGTACATGCATGTATTTTTGTGCAGAGGAACTTCAGAGACTAGTCAGCGTGAACAGCCTACTGTTCCTTCAACTAAACCTACTACCAGCATGATGGAAGATCCTTTTGTAGTTTTAGAATCAACTTCTTCTCCAGCATATTCATCATCAGACTTTTTTACTGATCCATTGGAACAAATGGGTAAGCCTAATAACACTGGAAGCATGAAAAGTGATCCTTCTGTTAGCAGGGGAGTATTTGATGATATAGATCCCCTTGATGGTCTGGGGAAGTCAGTGCCATTGTTTTCATCTGAGATGAATAGCATAGAGAGGGATAAAAGTCCTTTAAAGACAGGACCACATGTAAATTYTAAATATACTTCATCTGACAAAGAACCAACTGAGAAGTCTTCAGCAAAAGTCTCTGAGAACAACTCCCAGAAAAAGGTGCCTGTTGATAATTATCGGGATTCCCATCAAACCTTGTTTGACATTCCTACTGTTTCATCGGACTCTCATAAACCTGTTGGTCAGACTAGTTCTCGTACTTCACATGTGCATGCTAATTCTAATGAGACAAATCCTCAGGTTGATACATTTCCAAGATCTGAAGAAAATTCAGAAGCAGCTGATGAGGTATGGCTCACTGTCTCTGAGATTCCCCTTTTCACGCAACCTACAAGTGCTCCACCACCTTCAAGGCCCCCTCCTCCTAGACCATCTCAAGCTTCAAAGAGGGATAGAGGTTCATTTGCTGCTGTAAATACTAAAAAGGTTAATGAGTTCTCTTCTTTTCCACATTCCACTCAGAATTACCAGAGTTCCAAGCCAGTTCCTGATTCAGTGAAGAGTCAAAGTGTGTCTTCAATAGATGAACTTGAGGACTTTGCCATGGGCAGGCCCCGAAGTAATGCTGATGAACGTGCAGATATTCTTTCCAGTGAAGAAGAGGTTGAGGCAAATTCAGCTGCTGCTGCATCAGCTGCTGCTATGAAGGAAGCTATGGATAGGGCTGAGGCAAAATTCAAACAGGCTAGGGAAGTAAGGGAGCGAGAATTTGCTAAGGCTAGAAGTAGAGAAGCTGCACAGCAGGAAAAAGATGAAGCACGTGAACAGAGGGAAAGGGAGGAGAAAGAGCGAGAGCTCCGGGACCGTGAACGGGAACAGAAGGAAAGAGAGGAGAAAGAGAGAGAACAAAAGAGACTCCAAAGAGAGAGGGAGAGAGCTGTAGTGTTGAGAGCACAAGCAGAAGCACGTGAAAGGGCGGCAGCAGAAGCAAAGGAAAGGGCAGAAAGGGCAGCTGCTGAAGCTCGCCTAAAATCTGAAAGGGCTGCTGTTGAAAAAGTTAATCAGGAAGCACGTGAACGTGCAGGGCGGGCTGCAGTGCAGAGAGCACAAGCTGAAGCACGTGAGAGGGCAGCACCAGAAGCAAGGGAAAGAGTGGAAAGGGCAGCTGCAGAAGCCAGGGAGAAGGCAGCAACTGAAGCAAGGGATAGGGAAGCAAAAGAAAGGGCTGCTGTTGCAAGGGCAGAAGCAGAAGCACGAATTAGAGCAGAACGAGCTGCTGTTGAAAGGGCCGCTGCAGAGGCTCGAGAAAGGGCTGCTGTAGAGGCTCGACAAAGGGCAGCAGCAGCTGCTGCTGCAAAGGAGAATCAACAAAAGAATGAAAATGATCTGGAATCCTTTTTCAGTATGGGTGCTCGAGCAAACAGTGCTCAAAGGCCAAGGCCTACTGCTTCGGTAAGAAGATTTCTGTCACGTCAGAGTCATATTTGAACTAAGGTAGTAGATTGCACCACTGACTGTACTGTATATTTTAGGACACTCTTTTTGATACCCAATTCCAGAACCGGGGAGGTCCTGATGGAACAAGGAATGCATCATTTGGAACCTCATCCGGCATGAGGAAAGCATCTTCCACAACAAACATTGTTGATGACCTTACTTCAATTTTTGGAGGTAATCTTAATCTTGAAATCTGAGTTTCACATGTGAAGTTATTAGAATTTTCCTGGAGATAATTTTACAATTTTAATTGATTCAACTACTTTTATTTGGAAAGGCGCCCCATCATCTGGGGAATTTCAAGAAGTTGAAGGTGAAAGTGAGGAAAGACGGAAAGCCAGATGGGAGCGTCACCAAAGGACTCAAGAGCGGGCTGTATGGATTTTTCCTTTCTAATTTTGACTAGTTGGTTACTCTACCTTTCTATAAATAGTTGATAACAAAATATATGTTCTCATTCAGTGGGACTATTCTTCTCTAGAATGAGATATTATTTTGTTTACTTTTGAGTTCCATATTAGGCTCTGCAGTTTCTGATTGTTAAGTTGCATGTTCAGGCAAAGGCACTGGCTGTGAAGAATGAGCGTGACCTTCAAACTCAGAGAGAACAGGCAGAGAGACATGTAAGTTTTCCAAATTGGGTTTTGTGGGAGGAGTTGAGGAATGTGAGAGAAGAAAAGATTGTTTCTACAAGTCATTTGAAATAATTGCCATTATCTCAATCTGTTCCAGAGGATTGCTGAAACTTTGGATGTTGAGATCAAGCGTTGGGCTGCAGGGAAAGAAGGCAATTTGCGTGCTTTGTTGTCAACTTTACAATATGTAAGTTCATGTATTCTATACATTGTAGTTGGATGCTTGCAGGATTCAATTTCTATTAGCAGATATGTGGTGATCTGCCTCTTAAAGGAGACTATTTTTATGTTGGAATAAATCTTAGAGATACTCTTAATGCCTTGGATCATCATTATTATCATTTTTCGATAGTAAAAGTAAAAGCAAAGTTTCATTAGAAGAAAAATATTAGCATGTGGGTGAGCATTTTTACTGTAAAATAAACTTATCTCAACATAAACAAAAATTACACTAGTGTATCAATGATTCTCAATGACCAGGCCCACAAATGACCATAAATTGTCTGCAAGATCTTCTCTAGTAACATCCTTAAATTCTGAATTAGATAGAGACCATTCAACCATCTTTGAGCAGATATCAACAACTATCTTCCTTCTTGTTCTGCACCTATCTTTGAATATGTGTATGTTCCTTTCCAAACCCCAACAGACTGCAAACTGATACTCCCTAAGATTCTAGCTTTTTTACTACCTGAAACTGTTGGCCACTTTGAGAATATTCCCAATGGATAATTTGGACATGGTTTCTGTATATTAAATATCAGTTTGTATATTAAATATTTCCAATGGTCGTGCAAACCAACATATAATGGGAACCACAAACCTATTGACCGATTTCCCCCTTCCTGAATCTAAAAGAATAGGGCCTTCAAGTAATTGGCTTTCTCAGGTTTGATCTGATAATGATTGACCTACTAAATATCTATAGATATTATATAATATGTTTGTATAACCGCCAATTTCATTTATATTATACATATAAGTATGTCATGTTATGACTCCAAGGTCTTGGCAAGAGGTGTAGACGAGGAGGTTCAACCCCAGAGTAAGTTGTAAGATGGTGGATGTTGTGACTTTTGGTGTAGGTGGTGGTGCAACTGCCCAGGTGGAGAGGTCTGTCAATAAGGTGGGTGTTGTTGCAAAATGAGATATATAAGGGGGGTCCGTCAATAAGGTGGGTGGTTGCCCAAGCTGGAAGAGATTGAAGGTTGGATGGCTATGGACTGACATTGTTGGAGTACGTTGATGATCATGTCTTGGTTGAGTAAGCTTTTTGTTCATGCTGTCATCGGAAATGGAGGCATTGAACATCTTGAACAATGATTTCAGACTTTTCAGTTGTTGCCGAATTCACTTGGATAACTGTAATGTTTCATTTGGGCTGGTGATAGGCCCCCAATTAACTTTACGTATGCCAGGAAGGGGAAAGGTCAGCTTTCGGCTAAGGGGGGAAATAATTGAACATGGGGGCAATTATAGCTGGAGGGGGAATACGGAGAGTCTTGAGGCATTTATAGCTATGTCAGTTAGGAATAAGAAGAGTATGGGCATTTATAACTTGGCTAGCTGGGCATTTATTGAGGGAGTCAGTTATGTTGTGAGAAGAGTATAAGAAGGGGGTTTGGGGGATGGGGGAGATAGGCTTTTGTTGAGTGAAGAATACTGTGAGTGGTTGGGAGAGCCGGCGGTCTCTCGATGAACCGACCAACTGTTAATGTTCTTCTTTTCTTCTGAATGAATACTAGTTCCTTTGTTGATGTTCTAGTTGTGTGAATTCTGCTGTGAGTTTGAGAATTGTGTGTAAGGTTTCTGGGACCTCTCGATGAACCGACCTAACTAGTTGTGTGAATTCTAGTTAATGTTCTTCTTTTCAACACATGTGATGATGTGTTGATGGATTATGATGCACTCAAGGCTGTCCAAACGGGTTTAGGGACAGCTGCTGTAATTGTGAATGACAAGTCAACTGATATTGTGGATGCAATTGCTAGGCTCCCTTACTTCTATAAGCATGAAAGTTGTGGGCAGTGCACACCATGCAGGGAGGGGACAGGATGGCTGTGGATGATCATGGAGAGGCTGAAGGTTGGAAACGCAAAGCTGGAGGAAATAGACATGCTTCAAGAGGTGACAAAGCAGACACACCATCTGTGCATTGGGTGATGCTGCTGCTTGGCCTGTGCAGGGACATATCAGTGCGC